TATACTTTTACTCCTTACGTAGAGTTATTTAAGATATAAGTGTACATATGTAATCATTCCTATAATATAGTCTAATTGGTAACAACTAGTACGTCTCTGTGATGCAATGCATTGCGCTTTGGTGTCGTAGGTTATCGTCTCACAAAACACATGCGTTACGAGGAAGATTTTCCAAATACCGGAAAACATTTGAATCTGTTCTTTCCGTCTTCAAACATTCCTGGTCTTTCAATCGGCAATCACATCCTGTTATTATACGGAAGTTCACTTCCACTAAAACGATCGAATGAAGTTTCATGAAGGTAACTATGGAAACTTGGAAACCACATTCATCTCAATCCAGATAGTTAACTGTCAGCCTTCAAAAGACGCAAGGATTCCCATTTCACACGCCTTTAGTTGATGTAGATGTTGGTTGAGTCCAGATACTGCCCGATGAAGTTGTAACAGTACTGGTACTGCTCCTAAAATATATGCAAGACATTCTCATCAGCACTGACTCGCATTTGTATAATAATTTACAAACTAACTTTGTCTGTTGTTTTGAAAAAAAGTAAGTCGCACCCTATGTATTGTTGAAAAACTCTTTTTTATTTATTTTATAACAAGACGAAAGACACTCATATAGAAAACGATGCTATTGACAGTAAGTAATTGATAAAACGAAAAGATTTGATCATGGAAAATCATGAAAAAATCATGGAATTTGTATGATATTAGTCATAATTAATTATAGATTTAATTAAAGATGTTGTTAACGTAGAAGACATTTAGAGCATGAAACAGTCTAAGTTATTCGTAGCTTATTCACAAACTATACATGCAATTATAAGCATGTTTACCAATTATGATTATATCGATTCAACTAAACAGACTTCGGGACCAAAAAGGGTCTAATGTTGTGCTACACTGATCCTCGACCCTCATGAACATTAAAAAATCTGTCTGCATGTGTTACTACGGTTGAAAATATTTATTCTATAAAATGTCCTTGCACCTATGCTATTTCGTTTGATTAGATGCTAATCCATCAACCTAATCATCAGAATACTTACAATGTGTCTGAGAGCTGGTGGCCGTCGGACTTGTATTTGTCTAGACGTTTGAAATATGTCCACTTCATTATCCATCTTCATTTGATCTCGGGCATTTGATATACAACAGAATAGTCCACTATGTGTGCATCCGTCCCTAAGTAAGTAAAACGGCCATGTGTATACAATTTCGACTACTATAAACGACTAAACTAAAAGAGCTCCTTAGCCTCTTCTTAGAGAGCAATTCAAAATCATGTTATATTTAAGTTATTCAATGGTTGACTCTAAAGTCCGCGAAGTTGGTCATAGCCTTGTAGTTGGAATATATTCTGGCAGAGATTACATGAAGCACTCGTTTAATGATAACTTATCTGTTGTAGCTGATACATGTAGTGATCAAATTGTAAGATATTCATAGACACAGTTCCCATTTCATTGTATTTTACATATGTTTCGGAACAATTAGGATATACAAATTTCATTCATCATTGCCACTGATGAGATGAGGCCTAAATTTACGAAATGATCATATGATGCAGAAAAATATCTACTTCTTAGACATTCTGCATGTACAAACATATTTTTTAATATGTGCTTGATTTCTTTGTATTTCTTATGATAATTTAAAAGAAATTAAGTGATATTTCTTGATATTCGTAGCAAAAACATATCCGTTTCCGAACGAAGGGAGTGTTAACGTGTACTAGGCATTTAAAGTTACTTTATACACACAGATACAACCAGTGCAGAAATAGACAGTTGGAGGAATATAGCCGGTAAAGGGAGCTAAACACTATAAAAAATATCACAGCAGAAATACAATCGCCTCTACACAGCTGGGTATCATGTTGTATTTATAACTGACGTTTCAAGTTCATCGGTTGATATACTGTAGAATGACATACAAGTGGAAAGACTTTCAATTCACAAAAAAAACACTGCTTTTATAAATATTGATCGCCTCATTATTTTTATTTATCAGAGGGTAAACTTACTGACACATGACGACCACGGGTTTTGCATTGTCTGACTGTCGACGACTGTCCAGTTGCTCCAGCAGAAGGAGAAGGGACGAGTTGGAGGGGGGCAGCAAAGAATCCGATGACCACTCCTTCATAGTGAAGATCCGTATTGTCATGTCAGTTTTGGATCTCTGTAACTCGAAGAAATATAACAGTAGTGATTGAACACCATAGCTTATATATTAATGTACCCCTTCTTCAAAAAACTAAACATTATGTTTTATATAAAAAGTATAGCTATAATTTATTGAAGTACAATACAAAAAGACAGTGTTGCTAACAATGCCGTGATCGGTGTCATTTTCACGTTTTTTATCATATCTTGAAAAATACTGCAAGGTGAACATCACAATACATGTTCGCTACGCTCATCTTGTTATCTAAACATGTTTTCTCTTGACTTGAAATGTTAGATTGCATTATAAAATATGCCCATATATACAGTAATGGGATCGCACAACGTTACACGATGTGCGGTGTGCGCACGATGTGTGCACGATGTGTGCACGATGTATGAACGATGTGTGCACGAAGTGCGAACGATACAAAAATGAACGATCATTGTTTGCACACATTTGTGCGAACGATGGACGAACGTTGTGCGATAACAATCATGGTTGGTGTAAATTGAGGAATGCCTCAACAATATATAGGGTTTCGTGCATGTGTTTAAACACATACACTTTATTATTTAGTATGTTTCTATATTCTAGCTGCATATATAAGTTTATATTTCTGTCTATCCTTTCTTAAATTTAGAAATGGTGTTTTCGGTGATTTTTAAACAACTTAAATCGACACATGTAAAAGTACAACACAGTCTCGACAATACAGGTAAACAGAGCCACTTTGTACCTGTACCTGGACCGTAGTTATCCCCGCCAGGGGCACTTACGTAACTCGCCAAGGTGTAAAAACCAAGTGAAGGGGAGCTATATAGAGCAAAACGAATGCAAATAACAAAACGTCCAATTATGTTTTCATAGCGGTCAAACGGTATCACATAGCAGCTCTATGTGTCAGGCACAGGCCAGTTAAAACACCGGTCACTCATCAAATTGTTATTTACCTGTTCTGTTCCCTAGGAGCTAAACCCATACTTGACAGTCTAACGGTCTCTATAACCACAGTGTAACACGCATTGTAAAATTGTACATAATCTTAATTATTGTGATGAGAAATTACAATAATAAATACAGTGTACATTATTGCAAACGAACCTTCCGTATTTTTTTCATTCTGTTATATTGATCAACAAATTGTACCGAATCGCACAGTTGTGCGGAGAGAAGCGCACAGCGGGGCGAACGATTGTTAAATTGCACGGTTGTGCGCACCATGTGTGGACGATGTGCGGACGGTGTGTGAACGATGTATGCATGGTGTGCGAACGGCATTTTTGGTGCTTTGGGCGGTCACACAAATGTACCTTGCTTTTTATGTTATAGTCAGCAATATCAACGACGGGAATGACCGCTAATGCATTTTGCTTCCTAACATATATCCCATGGGCTTCATTTGCCTCGCTCTCTTCTCGAAGCCAGTGCTGTAGAAAGACAAAATTAATTAAAATAAATTACAAATAAATATTTACTACATGAACATGGAAACACATCCTGAAAGGTTTCACATTTTGTTTTGTTTTCACTGCATCTGGGACATAACTATTAATGCGATATATATATGCATTTTCAAAAGACAATATGAAACACTGAAAATCCCTATGTATATCTACAATGAGAAATAATCGGTATCGTTGTATCATCAAGATTAAACGTTATATGAGTTTTTTGGAGTATAAGAGATTCGTTATACAGGTCTTTGGTTGGGTAGTAGGATTCATGTTTTGTGTTCAGATCTTAAGTACCTTTCGGTGCAGGGTATATACTGTAAGATCCTGATTGGAAACATGTGGCCACCTATTCTGCCAAAGACATGCATAACTAAAACTGTTGAAATTTTCTTCTCACCTCTGTAGGGGTACCTAGGACAACGATGTTCTCACAGTTGTAGTCAATCACCATCGTCCACAAGTCATCAACTGTGCCCTCTAACGGAAACTGTGTCATAAGGTACCCTGATTTCGACCTGTGTGACTAAAAAGATATTGAACGAATAATTATTAAGCGCATTACCATAACAAAATGCGGAAAATGTCGGAAAATATAAATCTGCAATCAATGGCTTACCTGTAGCATAACAGCATTGATGTAGTCATTCCTGTCGCCCACCTGTGACCGCAGGTAAGCTCGATACATGTCAACTAAACAATAAAAAGTGAATGCAATGTGTAATGTTGTATTATAATAAAAGATATAAAATTAATTTATTACAAATAAAACAGTTTTCATACCTGTTTCTATTCAAATGCTTTGCTGACATTCATACAATTTTATTTTAAAGTGCACATATTTTTTGAAAACGCTCACATAACGTGTAGTACTATTGTAATATTAAACTATACATACCTGCTTTAATAGACACTGTTCTGTTTTTGCTCTTGTTTTCTTTCATCATTCCTGCTCTGTAGCAACTCGAATCATATTTGGGAATGAGAGTCTGAAGATTCTTGAAAAAAGATAGAAAAAAATTATTGCAATCTCATTGATCCTTTATATAAAGACTGTTTTATTTTCCGAATCTTGAAAAGCACTCACTTCAAATTCTTTTCGTAGCTTTGTTTGGTTTGTTGGTTTTCCGGGCGGAAGCATTTTTCTCAAAGTTACAGGAAAGTCTGTATCGGAAATCAGAGTATCCTGTAGATCGTGTTTCTGGACAAGCAATTCGTGAAGAGCGATATACTGTTCCTGGAAAGTCAATAAACAGGTATGTCATATTAGTAAAGGAATGGTAACAAATTGTATATCGTTTACTTTTATTTCTCTACTACACATTGGATAAACCGGCTAGGAAATGGTAAACAATTGTTGTTACCCACCAATGTGTAGCACTCTTGACATGATTTCGTTGGTCAATATGTTATTCATGACGTCAATCGGCGACAAGCATAATGGTTTTTTTTTAAACATGTGTTTCGGTTAATTGCACAATTTGAAAAAAAACTAACTCAGGTTTTATAAGTAACATAACCAACCGTTTGGGAACGTACATTGTATATGTAAGAAATAACTATGTAAATCAATGCTTATTTTGGATTTTGTTTTTACTAAAGGAGTTGCTGCTATAGTTTCTTTTTATTTTACTAGAAAACTACCTGTCAACCGTTATTCTCTTACATGAGTTTGAACCATATTCATTCGGTTCTCTCGCATTTTTCTTATATAACTCGAAATATCCACTTGTCCAGATTTCTTTTCCTCCTTTGAAAGAGCATCTAGACCTATGAAGGTTCCCGTCCTCCCGAGTCCAGCACTGAGATAAAGAAACGAAATACTGGTAGTCAGTGATATTTTGTTACAAAATGTGATAAATATCTTCGCTTTTGGTTAAACACACTAATTGTCAGTCAGAATTTGGAGATCAATCAGATACGAAACTAAATATGTTATGTGAAATCAATTTACTGATAGGCTATGGTATTGCCGAACAACGGTAGCTTTCTAAACCTAAATAATGTGGCAATCCATTTTGACCCCATACTGTCCCACATGAAACGTAAACATTTTAGCAAAAAGGTTTACTACTTATTGATGTATTAAGAATCGGAAATCTAAAAGACCAGCGGCGGTCAATCTTGTCCGACTGATCTTGCCATTTGAATCTTTCTTGCTTTTTTGTGTTCAATATTTTTTCGAGTTTGTTAACAAGGTACAAACCATATGTGTTTGTGTTTGAAAAAAGTGGACTCATCTGACCACCACATAAGAAATAATATCGGTGAAAATAAAACACAATAGTAACGATATTTGACAAGACACAACTTTATACAATTTTGACTAAAGTATTAAAAGCAAATGGAAATTGACAAAACTGATAGCACAATTTCAGCAGGAAGCGTGAGGAAAATTGTAAAACTTATTATACAAGGAATTTCAAATTTTACTGAAAAAGTCTTAATTGACTTAGGAGAACATATTTATCCATAAAATTTGGGATGAGACACCATTTAATTATCTAATACGATATATTATTAAACCGACCTGATTTGTTCTAAAATACCCCAAACCCTCCCCACTCACCCACCCCCACACCCCCTCAAACATACAACTATGGAAAGAAAATATGGACTTAATCTTCTATTATTGTTTGTCTTGCTGTTAAGCTTTCACAAAGCAACACATTTACGAGTGAGAACGAAAGCTGTCTTTTGTTTAAAAATAAATAATATATCACTGCGTATACCGCTTATGGAAGTCGTAAAGGTGACCTTCGCCTGTTGTAATAGCAATACCTGCAGTGTACAACCATCTGCCCAGTAAGCTGTGTCCTATATGAGGTCACACGGCGGTGGAATAGGACGAGTTCAAGGGTGTCTGGAGTTCCGTGGTCCGGCCATGTCGTAAAGTGGAACTGGTGAACCTGACGCTCTTCTTTTGTCTACAAAAAAAAAAAAAAAAAAAAAATTTTTACCGTACATATCAAAAATTTACTACTTTTCTCATTGTAACATGTTTTAAATGTATTTGGGGGGTTTTCTAAGACAAAACACCGAAATCTGCACATTAATGACAATTCTGCATACATACAAAGAAGACTTGTTTGGTTTTACATTTAAATCATTGTATACGTAGTATAAAAGATGTAATGCAATGTAATTTTCGTAAAGGAGTTCAACGTATCACATTTAACAATTGAAACTATTATCCCTAAAATTCTAATGATTTTTTTTTCTCTCTCCACAAACGTTATGTAGGTTAATTTGTTCTAATGCTTTCAAATATGCACAAACCAGTAAAATAAAAACAGTACAACTGAAGCAGTGACACGTGTAAATGACGTTTAGATTAGCAATTTTCATCGGTATATTTCTGTCCTTTACTCACCTACATTTAATTAAACTATTGATTACTAAAATGGTTATATTTTCTTTACCTTCCTGTTTGTCACTGAAATCTCTCGTAGTACATAAAACGCATACGTCCTCTCTCGATCGAGACTGATGTTGAAATGCTTCGTTGATAAAGGTTTACCTTCGTCAGGCCAGTATTGGTGACATTTTACCTAAAATGACGTGAAATCCAAAATACGCAAGCATAATATAAATTAAGCAAAACAATCTATACAAATGTACCAATATAAAAGCAAATATTTATTAGCTTTCATATTGATCTCATAGATTATGGTTTGAAAACAACAATAAGTAAACCAGCTTATTTTTTCAATCTGTGACCCATTAAACATGCAGTATTTCAATGACTAAGTATTTGTAACTGATAACACAGACTAATTAATATTTTATTTACATTGCCGCCCTCGGAAAGATTTGTAACCATGACGATTTTCCCAGTGTTTAGTTGCCAAACCATCCTCCAAAAATCGTCCACCGTTTTTTGTTTTGGTCCTAGAATATAAAATGTCAAGATTGACACTACGAAAATACTATGTTGCCTATTGTTACACACGTTCTTTTTACAATTACGTGGATACGAGTAGGTGTGATAGTCAATATTTATAGTGACGGGATTGTTTTAAAAATGACGTATTTGATAGTACAAATATCATTACTAAAGGACTCACACAAATAAATCAGCCAATCAGCAAGTGTTTCATACGTTTGTAGTCCCTATCTAAAATTATTTCCGGCTAATTACTTGGCCACTGAGCAAGTTTAATAAGGAACTGATGACAGATTTTCAGATAAATGAAATGTTCAGGTATTTCACTTTTAAGAAATATATTTTTTTGATATGTTTTCATGTCTGTGTGCGGATTTGCACAGGGCAAAAATGTCTGGGGGGATTTCTGTTTTGGGTCACCGGTTTTGCTTGTAAACTTCCGGTTGTCAACTTCTGGACGCTGTGACACTCCAATATGCCACTAAACCTATCAAAAAAGTCAATTTTTTAGCCTTTGCAAGGTATGTATTGATGGATCTAGACAGTTGTCACTGGTGTTGAACTTTAAATATTAAAGTTATTAGCTAAAATGTTTGGTAATAACACATATTAAATGATTTAGTTGTGTGAGTCCTAAAGGGCAAAATTAAATACATAATGTAGTCTACATTTTTGCTGGTTCATGAGAAGAACCTTCGTTAACATTACCTTGACATGCGACATAAGCTTGGCGGGCGTCGGTACTCTATCATTTGAAATAAAAAGAAAATAAACATATTTGTGATTGACTGTGTATCATTTAGAATGTTCAAAGTAATATCGAAACACATTTAAGATGCATGACTTATTTCCAAATACCTATGAGATCAGTAATAAAAGATATACCAAAAGTATATTTAAATACCTTCAATAAATCCTACGCATAAATTCAAATTCATTATCAACAGTCAATATCAAGTCAATATCGGTACAGTATTCATTGTATTTCTATGACAATCCTACATTGTACATGTATCACATCACAGCCGCCGTTCAGCAACATCGCTATGTACTGCATGTCCGTTGAACAGGTTAATCATGTTTTTGTAGTGGTCATGAAAGAATCCATCAATTACATGTTAGCATTTGGTACGAAAGACATAAATTTTATTTGGAGAAACAAAAACTGTGGCAATGTATACCTGGACAAAAAAGTGGTGTTTCTTTCTTAGACAAAAATAAACACAGGCTTACTTCCTAAATGTCTTATACATAAGGCCCTACATGATACTTTATACGATTTCGAAAATACGTTATTGACTTACGTCAATGTAATTGGCGTTAATGTAGGTCGAGTCAGGATCATTCCCAATCTTATCCAGTATGACACGGGAATGGTCATCTGAAATAAAGGACCGTTGCTTTTTAACCAATGTAATTAGCTGTGAGATGTTTCACTTAAAGGATATGATATCCGACTGGTAGCTACCAGGCTTATCCAGCGTACCAACAACTATGCTGTAGTTTACAAATCGTTTAGAAATGCTTGTTGCACTGCCGTGAAGAACGTGCTGTATTTAAGCTTTGTAATCAAGATCGACGTCACCTCCTGACAATTCAACTTTATGTGTTCAAAAGGTTTATTATACCGTTTCCTTATTTAATTAAGAGGAACAGCTTAGATAAGAAATTGCATTTGCCGAAAAGGCGACTGTTGAACGCAATACTGCTTTTTCATTTAGTATAAATCCTCTGTAAATGTTTCACAAAATGTTAAGGAAGATTTTGATGTTGTTAAGATTGATAATTAGTGATAAAAACATAATCAATACTTTACTCAAAACTGACATACCATGGTATTGTTGAGTTACCACAGTTACAATGTACTGAGGACAACTATGACAGTGGGATGCTCGTGCACCCCTTGCTGTGCCCCTGGTTTACATACATGTACTGAGTGCGCGAGTCAGATGTTTTAGAAGAGGACACACGACATTTTTGATATATCACCACCATCCTTATAACCATAGCATCATAAGTAGAAAGGAATAGCACCATATCTAAAACAATTTATTATCGTTATCTCTATTCTTATAGCTGAAATGAAGTTAGGCAAATACACTCATCACCAACCTTTATTTGGGCTACTGATGGAATCCATATCCGTTCTATTCAAAAGCAAACATTAATTTCGGGGATATGTAGGAGTTTTTAAAAAATCATTGTGAAAAACCTAAGTGACCGCTCATCATGACCGATCGGTTAATCTCCTGGTAATGTTAATATGTATATAATGTGAATACGATTTGACGAGGCAGAGTGTTGTGTTGTTTGAAAAAGGACAGAAGAAACAAGATGACATGTTTCCCCCATTATTTCACACACATAACACTCTATATAAATATATTTGTTGTGTAACAGAACAGATGGTTTTGTAACTAAGATTTTTTAAAGGAAAATAATAAATCAATAGAAAAGAAATATTTAGATCACAAATTATAATGGGCACCATGTTAAAGGTGAACTTTTATATTCCCTTTACATACTTAAAAGAAGAATAAAGCTTACTTCCAACAAGCTGTGTCTCGTTTTCTTGTAATGTCTGTTTTTAAAGAAAACTGCTGTTTCTTTACTATTTCCAATATAACTACTTACAAGGAAATGTTGTTTTGAATCTGTTCTTTGGTTTATTGGATGCTTTGGCACCTACTAGGTGAGGATGCACTGCTCCCCAGGGCAACTCCTGTATATAATATACATTACAATGTATCACTTTTTACATTAGTTATCTATAAAATCTCAAGGTTTAAATCATATATATACAATGCACGATACAAAACCCAACTGATAAACATAAGTCGTGCATGATCTATGATTATGTAAATTATATATATGATTTATTCTCTAAAGAATTGAAAATCAAAGTTAAAGTAAAACTCAAATATTTACTTCCTGATCCTTATATCGATTAAACACTGGGAGAAACAGGGATGTCACTATTAACATTTATACATTGTAAGTAGTACAGTTGTGGGATCGCACAACGTTACACTGAGTATAGACTGAGTATATTACCAGACGATTACATTACCTTTCTTTTACAAAATTAAAAGCGTTCTGACGAGTAATCTAACTCCATCGTTTCTGTGTGACGCAAGTTTATATGTTTATCAAATATCATTATCATTTTAAATATCATTAAAGAAACATTTTGGTATGTATAAAAAAAAAATGCAAATATGAGTTCAAACGTTAAATTTAATTAAACAATTATTTTTTTTATTTTCTACTTGCATTCTGCTTGTTTTAATGTTTTATCTACCATATAAAATAAATGTAAATTAGTTAAAACATATTTAATTTTCTTTAACATTAGAGTTGCACCATACCTTGAATTCCTTCTTAAATTCTTCTTCTTCATTTTCCAACTTTTGTGGTATCATTGCTCGGATGTCATCAATAGAGACACCACCCGAGGTGTACATATTGCTATATACTACCTCTTCGTCCTTCTTACCGACATCACAGACGTTGATGTATTCGATCGTTTTATCATTCGTAACAGCTATAAGAGTTGGAACAAGAATGAAACAAACTGATGACGAAGAAAAGAAAGTCTTTCCGTCACATCAGTATCTTAAAAAAAATATCGTTCAATTATATATAATGCTGAACACAATGACATGAGATAACAAATGAATACTGTTGTACACAGCTGTTAGTGTTATTTACTATTATTTTTTTTTATAATATTAGCACAATGTCATGAACTTTATGTATTGCCTGTTATGTGCAGTTGCCCTAGTGATGGTATGATATCATGTGTCTTTACCTCGAGTAAATTAATTTTCAAGTGGTAAGAAGACACACAGTTTGCCGAGTGTTTGTTCGTTTGTTCATGTACACAATTTGAAAAGTAACTAATTAGAGCTACATAAATATAAAAGCGAGCCACCAGGCCTTATGTCTGTTGCCAAAAGAGGTTTTTACCATTATCCACATCCTTATATATGTGTGTTCGCCAAGAAAATAAATATGGAAAGAACAGGAATTGGCAAAAATGGGAATAATGAACAAAACAATTTAAAAAGCAATTACAAATTATCAAATACCTGTCATATTGATAAGTTAAAGCTGAGAGTGCAAGTTAAAAAGGTTTCAACTGAGATTAAAACAGAAACAAATCTGGTTTTGAGATCTTCTCCATCTATTTCGACTATCGTTTCTAGGGAAGTGCCGACATTTTAGTTTGTCCTTGCTTAGTAACTAGTGTGGGTCTCTCAGGGTATAAAAAGCGCATTACCTGTCAAACCGGTTATCACATGCCAAGATTAGAAATGTTTGTTCTTTTTTACCATTAAGTATCATTATTATTATATTGAAAGTAAAAACACATACATGAAATTTGAGAAGGTTTTCTATGAATAAGCTGGTTAAATTATGCATGTTGTCAAGTATGCATGTTTTCAAGTACATGTACATATATGAAACTTGATAGGATTTATTATGAATAAGTTGGTAATATAATGCATGAAGGCCTACTTAAAACCATCCTTATTATGTAAATGAACGAATTACATAACGTACCATAGACTCTATCTAAGAAATTGTGATTGTCTTTTGCTTATTTTTGATCACTAGACTTATTGCACTCGTGACATGAAACAAACCTTGATATTTCAATTTGATCTACACATTAGGGGCAACACCTCTGTTTAACTTAAAGGTTGAAATATTTTTTCAAAACAATTATTTACTGTTTTGGTATGCCATATTTGCAAGTGCATGCATGTCAATTTTTCTGTCTGTGGACACTTATTCCATTTCTTAATATATAAAACCTACGCATTGCAGTCTTCGATGTCTTATGGCTTTTGCGCCCTGATGTGGCAAGAGGCAGGGATGACGTATTCTTTGGGTCATCATCGTACTCTGCATGTTGTTTTGTTTGCAAGGTTCTTCTGAAAAGTGGAATATTTGTCAAAAATGTTTCAGCAACACTGTTAGTTGTTGTCCTGACCAACGCACCATGTATTGAACCAGTATACTACAAATACAGTTTACAACAATTTATTCCACAGGTATAAATATTATTACACATTTATTTCGTAAACATATCGAAATAGGCTATGTAGCAAATATCAAACCTCACAAGATATTTGTTTTTGTGAAAAAAACACATGTCTCCTCTATTAAAAAATGCACTTATTTGACATTTGACTTTGATGTAAAAGTCACAGCGACCTATTGATGATACACTGCACATTGTCTGTGGTTGATGCAGTTTTTAATAGTTTAGAAAGTAAGGCCCATGAATGTAATTATCAAAAGAATTTGAATAACCAGAAGAACCAGTACTAAAACAATATGTCTCCTCCCATTCGAATGGGAGGCATATTTACTTAACCTTTGCAAAAGAAGGGACCTTGCTGATTCTTGGTGATATTTCAATATTTTGCTGATTTAACGTTTAATATGAATAGTTTTGCTATCAAACTTTTTTCAAAAATATTGAATGGAACAAAAAAAAATACATTTGTTTTTCTAAAACACCGCCAAACATGGGGGTCTGTGTGCTTCGTTTGTATCCCATTATTATTTGTGTGTGTGTGGGGGGGGGCTCTCACTTTTTCTTTCGTGGTCAAAATCAAATACCAATAGTACATATTTTTCCATCTTGCTGCATATTATTACCCTCATATTGAACATTGTAAAGTTGAACAGCAAAATGGAAATTGCTACAATTAATGCGACACAATGACGATTAAAGTGTCAAAAAGGGTGTAATTTTGTCCTTTCATGCAGCG